CTGCACGAGGCCAACACCCTGCACCAGTTCTTCAGAGACATCGCCGATGAGGAGTCCTGGATCAAGTCAGTTACACATTCTACTAGTTCCTCTGCAACGTTATTGAAATGATTGTTACTAAAGATGATCGTTTATTTTAGTTTGGTGTATTGATTTCTTAAAACTGTTCGATATTGGTGTTATATAACAGAAATCCTACATTGCCATCTTTAATAGAAGGATGTCTTATGCAGGGAAAAGAAGCTGCTGGTGGCATCGGACGACTATGGGCGTGACCTGACCGGAGTGCAGAACCTGCTGAAGAAGCATAAGCGTCTGGAGGCCGAGCTCGCCAGCCACGAGCCGGCCATCCAGGCGGTGCAAGAGGCGGGCGAAAAGCTGATGGATGTGTCCAACCTGGGCGTGCCTGAGATCGAGCTGCGGCTGAAGGCGCTCGCCCTAGCCTGGGCGGAGCTGCAGGCGCTGGCTGAGGAACGCGGTGCTAAGCTGCAACAGTCCCTGGCCTACCAGCAGTTCCTCGCCAAGGTCGATGAGGAAGAGGCCTGGATTAGGTTATTATCAATATTTCAGTATGATTGGACTTAAAGATTCTATTTCTGTACTATTGTACTCTATTGGTGTATGTATGGTTGTATACAGCGAGAAACAACAGCTGGTGGTGGTGAGCGAGTGCGGGGACAGCATGGCGGCGGTGCAGGGTCTGCTGAAGAAGCACGAAGCCCTGGAGGCCGAACTGGCGGCGCGAGGCGACCGCGTGCGCGAACTGACCGCTGACGGCGAGACCTTGCTAGCTGCCGGCAACCTGCACGCTGATGCGCTTTCACATCGGCTGCACGCACTACAGGTAAAATTGCGCTAATTAATATTAATAGTCACATTGGCACAATATTTTGTTATATTTTAAATATGGTAATGATTGAATGATTATTTTAAGGCTAAGCTAGAGAAGCTGAGCGCGCTGGCTACTCGTCGCAAGGCGGCGCTGGTAGACAACTCTGCGTACCTGCAGCTGTTGTGGAAGGCGGACGTGGTGGAGTCGTGGATCGCCGACAAGGAGACGCACGTTCGATCCGACGAGTTCGGCCGCGATCTCTCTACCGTACAGACACTGCTCACCAAACAGGATACCTTCGACGCCGGTTAGTTGTAACTTAGATAGTTAAAAAATTTGCGCCGTGTCGAAAAAAAAACGAATTAAACAAATCATTAGCCTCAAATGTGAAAACAAATGAGCCTGCAGCGTACCGGGAGGGCACATATTTTGAAACGTCAAAATTACGTTGTTTTACTTTAATGAATATATTTGAAAATTGAATAGTGTATAATGTTTAGGTTTGGCGGCTTTCGAGCATGAGGGCATCCAAAACATTACGCAGTTGAAGGAACAGCTGGTTGCTGGCGGACATGAGCAGGCCGCTGCCATTAGCAAGCGGCACGGTGACGTGCTGGCGCGCTGGCAGCGCCTGCTGGCCGATAGCGCCGCGCGCAAGCAACGCCTGCTGCAGCTGCAGGACCAGTTCCGCCAGATCGAGGAACTGTATCTCACCTTCGCCAAGAAGGTATTCGAGTAACATATGAATGAGTGGTTGCCAACCCATTCAGAAGACGCACTTGTTCTTCAATTATTTATGTTTAAAATATAAGGTATTGCTTTTAGTGACGTATGATTTTAAATGCAACTGTTCATAGGCGTCAGCATTCAACTCGTGGTTCGAAAATGCGGAGGAGGACCTCACGGACCCGGTGCGCTGCAACTCCATCGAGGAGATACGTGCACTGCGTGACGCACACGCCCAGTTCCAGGTAATAAAAATAACACATTCTGAAAATGAACAATACAAACAGCTCCAATGTGGCACACGTATTAACTAAACAAACTCATTTAGGCGTCCCTGTCGTCTGCGCAAAGCGACTTCGCTGCACTGGCAGCACTTGACGAGCAGATCAAGTCGTTCAACGTGGGCGCCAACCCCTACACCTGGTTCACCATGGAGGCGCTCGAGGAGACATGGCGCAATCTGCGCAAAATTATCGGTACGTATTAAGACCTTTTACCAATGTTAATCAAACATGTTAAAACCCCAAGAACATATAGTTATATTATTAAATATGTAATTATATGTTAAAATGTATTTGATTTTGTGTAGCGGAGCGTGATGTTGAGCTGAGTAAGGAGGCACAGCGACAGGAGGAGAACGACAAGCTGCGTAAGGAGTTCGCCAAACACGCCAACGCCTTCCACCAGTGGCTCACAGAGACACGGTCAGTTTGCATTATGGTACTAACTCACCAATATAAGTTATGGATGAGGTAGACAAAATAAAATAAATCGAAACATACGAAAAAATACTTTATGAAGACAGGCATTGTAGGTGCAATAGTAAAAGCAATGGTTTTATGCGTTCATTTTCGTAGCAAATATATGCATTTAACTGGTTCGTAAATCAAACAATGTTTGTCACTTATGGTAACACTTGATGTGCAGGTACCGGCTGCTAGGCTGGGACGGGTAAAGTACCAATAACGCGTGCACTTGTACTAAACATGGCAGACTCGCTTCGCAAACCTTGGCACAATATAGTTCTATAAAAATGTATTATTTATGCAGCAACAAAGTATTCTGCCAAGTTGTGTTATTTGTGAGCATATCGTTTGTTGTCGATGTTTCCTCAAATTATATACCGCCTGTAAAAACTGTGAACAAACGGAAATGTGTGTAAATATTAACTTTACATTAATTGTTCGTGTTTTGAGTGTACAAATTAATTTTACTAATTTCAATCTTCAATTTGAGTTTTTTTCATTTTATAGTTCATTTAATGTTTTAAATGATACTATGAACTGTATGAATACATGCCATCATTCATCAGAAAATAATTCTAAATTCACAATTTTGTTTTTTAATGTATATTATAATAAAAAAAATGTTCCGATATTTTTGTGGCTTTTGTTGTCAAAATAAGTGAACATCTGAATGTAGCATGTTGCGGCTGAGTCATAATATGTATTGTAAAATGTGTGTTGTGATGTCAGGACATCGATGATGGAGGGCACTGGCTCGCTGGAGCAGCAGCTGGCGACGCTCCGGCAGCGCGCAGGCGAGGTGCGCGCGCGCCGCGCAGACCTGCGACGTCTGGAGGAACTCGGTGTGTATGACACACACACACACACACACATACTGCAAGCTAGATTGTATATCCCCGTGACAAGATTTGTTTCAACGAAATTTCTAAAATGAATGCACAATCAAGACTTTTTATTATTTTAGGCTGTTTCTATGACATATATTTTTATATAGGTTAATAAAATAACCGTGTGTTTGTTTAGGTGCTGCATTGGAGGAGCACCTGATCCTGGACAATCGCTACACGGAACACAGCACTGTGGGGCTGGCGCAGCAGTGGGACCAACTCGATCAGCTCTCCATGCGCATGCAGCACAATCTCGAACAGCAGATACAGGCCAGGAACCACTCCGGTACAACACAAACATATCTTGTAAAATTTAAATCAAATATGTCATACTGAATTATAATACCTAATTGTCTATTTGTAGGTGTGAGCGAGGACGCACTGAAGGAGTTCTCGATGATGTTCAAGCACTTCGACAAAGACCGCTCAGGCCGCCTCAACCACCACGAGTTCAAGTCTTGTCTGCGCGCGCTCGGATACGATCTGCCCATGGTTGAGGAAGGACAGCCCGATCCAGAGTTCGAGGCTATACTCAGTTAGTATTAAATGCTCTTACAATTAATTCTTACAACTGTGTTATACAAACTTGACTATGAGGCTCAAATCTGTCTAACATAAGTTAGCAGCATTTTTAATTGAAATCAGAAAATGAAAGTTTAGTTAATCTTTAACTTTTTTTATGACAGACGTTGTGGATCCGAACCGCGACGGTCAGGTGTCGCTACAGGAGTACATGGCGTTCATGATCAGCAAGGAGACAGAAAACGTGCACTCCTCAGAGGAAATCGAGAATGCCTTCCGCGCCATCACCGCGCACCAGGACCGCGCATACGTCACCAAGGATGAGCTATATGCGGTCAGTACACTAGATTACTACTTTCATCCTACCGTACCGTACTATGTAGTCTTTTGGAGATGAATTTATTGTAAGCAAATGTAACAGAGTTATAATTTAACAACCTTTTTCAGAACCTGACCAAGGAGATGGCGGACTATTGTGTGGCGCGTATGAAGCCCTACGTGGAGCCGAAGACGGAGCGACCCATCCCCAACGCGCTCGATTACATCGACTTCACACGCACACTCTTCCAGAACTAATCCCCCCCCCCACACAGCCTGCCGCCAACACCACGCGCAGTATCTTATTAAAGTTAAGCTTACAATATGTCGCTTTTTCTTTCAAACCTCACCCGACTTGTGCCGTAGCACGCTTTGATAATCGCTTTAACTTCTTCCAATATCTACGACTGAATGTTGAATAGCATTTACGAAATATTAGTCTTGCTAGTATCGATTACTGAATCATTCACTTACGATGTTTCTCTCTAATGAAACTACTGGTCTGTGTAGTGAGTTAGTTTGCCTACCTTTAGGTATGCGTCAGTGTGGGGCCTGGCTTCCTTTCCTCTGAAATAAGCAGAGGGATAAGAAACTCCCCATTGCTGAACTTCAGACTACAGTTTTACATAGAAATTTTGCATTTTTAAATATTTATCACATTAGCATTCGCTAGCTAAGAAAAGTATTGTGTTATTTAAGACGTTATCTAAAAATTATTTATTGTCAAAAGTTATTCATCTTGATACATTTATATTTTGTAATCACTATTAAATCAATAAAATATTATCAAAAAATTGTCATCTTGTTTCCTTTAATTATATTATTTTTGGTTCTACACTTCAAAATTCTACATAAATAAAAACATATGTTCAGGTTTCCCAACAAAAGATTTATAGAGTTAGTAAAAGAGGTTTTTTCTATTTTTGGGCATCGTACGACGAGCCCGCATTTATTTTTAATTACAAAAAGTATACAATGACTATAATTTCATATATATTTTTTACAATATGCATTATAATTAAAATATTTACAACTAAGATTAGCGAAGCGGTACAATGCTTATACTATTCTTTACATATTAAGTTAGTTTTCAAATAAATAAAAGTTGATAAGATTTTTATACTTTAACTAATAACTCATGTAATGATAGTAGATACGCAAAATTAATGACACTCAGAGTCGTCTCCAACGTTCAGACGTCATTTAAAGCGACTCATAGTCCTTCTAGGTAAGTGATCACTGATCACCATTCAAACACAAGGTTTAGGCAATTGTTATTACAGCTTGTTTTTCAAGACGCGACTTTGAATCAACACTCTGGTAATCAAAATTCACCTGCATGATTTGCCTCGTGCCGTCAGAGTGCGACCTAGTGACGTTGTTCTCAAACTTTGAAATGGCCATAGTTTAACGTTGTGCCGCTATGACGTCATTGCGCTAGAGCTGCGCGCGCTGCAGCAGCTTGAGCTCTTCTTGTGTGATGTGGGGGCGTAGTTTGTGTATGAGGGGCGCGGGCAGGGGGCGGCGCGCTCCCGCCATGTGACGGAACGACAGCAGCTGCTGCACCGAGGGCCGCTCCCGTGCATTGTATGTCAGGCACCACTTCAGCGACGTTATCAGCGTCGGCGGTAGGTCTGCAAATATAAAACATTTAAAAAATAAATAAGACAACAAAAAACATGTTTCTTTTCTCTCAGTCAATATGAAATACTAACGATCCGCGGGCGGGTAGTCAATGCGATGGTTGGGGTCGAGGATGGCGGCGAGCTTGGCCAAGTTGGGGATGTGCGAGAAAGGCGTGCGACCGTACACCATACTGTACAGAATGCAGCCCAGCGACCACACATCAGACTTGAACGAGATCTATTAATAAAAACTAAATATACATTTGAAAATAAAAGTCTTATCAATGAAATTCAACCCAGATACTACAATTAAGCAAAGGTTACCTTGATGGGCGCGGCAGAGGCGTCATCAGCGCAGCCGTAGCCGCCGGCGCCGCCCATGAGCGCCTCGGGGCTGATGTAGGAGTAGGTGCCGGCGGCCTGCGAGCGCACCACGCTGGTTGCGTCGCTGCTGATGGCCGAAGCGATGCCGAAGTCGATCAGCTTCAGCCGTCCCGACACCAGCACAAAGTTCGCAGGCTTCAGGTCGGCGTGGATCACTCCTGTATCAAAATCAGCTTATGTTGAATTGATGAAAACATACTTTTTAAAAAAAGTCCAAGAACAACTGAATTTAATCTATAATGTTTTTGTGATATTTACTAACAGTGTTGGTTTATATTTAAAGCTCACCCTGTTCATGTATGAAGAGCACAGCATGCAACATCTCCTCCCAGTAGTGCAGCAGTAGTGCGGGCGGCAGGGCGGCGCCGCGATCACGTAGCAGTGCCGCTAGGTCTGTCTCGCCTGCCTCTAGTATCATACGCAGCACTTGGTTGCTGCGGTCATATTCACTGAAACATCATGATTATTTAAATAAAAACACTTAAGGGCTCCTTCAAACAAATTTAGATGCAAGCGATCACATTGCTGTTTTGTTTCAATGAGAAATATAAGACACTCACTAATCATACAATCGTATGACTCTTATAGAGTCCTGCAGTTCCCGCAGAAGGCGCACCTCATTGACGTAACCCTGAGCCAGATCCTGGTCTGAACCCAGATATACTGTCTTCATTGCATATTCACCTGTTGTACCTAACTCTACCACCTGTAATTAAGGAAAAATTGCTTAACAACTAATTATCATTGGCTGCACAGAGGAAAGTTATACAAATATTATATTAAATTTTAAAGTTCCAAAAATAATATTATGAAACAATTCTGCTTTTAAGAATAGAGTCAGAGCTGACCCAAGTCTTTTGCTTACAGAAGTTTCTCTCTTATCCTGGTTTAAATGTATAAGTGTTGAGAAAATATTCAGAAAAACTAATATTATTAATACTTACTTTATAAACTTCACTGGAGCCACCTACACCCAACTTCTTCAGCAATAAATATTTTTTATCTTTCACTTGTATTGTGTTAAATGTTACTTTAGTATTATACCCCTTCAGACCCTCAGGGTATGACGGTGTGGGTACACATGCAACAGGCATCAGCCTTCTGTTCAATGGTGTCTCCGGGACTGGGGCTGGAATAGGAACTGACACCAATTTAGAAACTGAAGCCGAAATTGGTGTTGAAACTGGTGCAGAGATGGGAATTGGCAGTGAACTTGAAACCGGGATTGATACAGAAACTGCAGCTGATACTGGGACTGATGGTACAGATGTCACTGAGACTGACATTGCAGCTGATGCTGGGACTGAAGTTATTACTGGGGTTGAAATCACAACTGAACTTGGTGCTGGAACTGCAGCTGGAGTTTGTGGAGCTGCCGGTGCCGGTGCAGGTGTAACAAACAGATGTGCTGCCCTCTGGCTCGGCTTTGTCTGTACTTCATCTTTGTTTTTATCACTAGAGAATAATTCACACCTAACTTTATCTTTTTTGTTTTGAATTGCATTTTGCATGAGCGTTTTGCTCTGACTCTTACGTGAAGAGCCCGGGGTAAAGTGGCGAATACCAGACTTAATTTTCGGTGTTGCACTTTTAAGTTTCTGCTGCTGTTGTTGTTGTTTTATTATTTCAGGAGTTTTTTTGATGGCTGTACCTATTTTTTCTTGCGCTTGAATATTTGTCTGTTGTGGAGTTAATGCAGAACGTTTGCAGGTTTCTTTTGATGATCCTTGATACAGTTTAGCATTCTTATTGACACTTTGGATAATTCTATTCTCTTTATTTGGGTATGTTTTATTTGACTTTAGCCAATTTTCAAAAGTATTTTCTTTGTTAGTTGATCTTAACTTTTTGTCAGATGTGTAGTTGTTACTTGGTTGCAATTTAGGCGTTGGAGTCGTATATTTTGGAACATTGGGACTTTTTTTAGCAACCGTTTCACAGTCAGATTCATCACTGTCGCAAGATGAAAAACTAGAATCCGGTGTAAAGTCCTGTGTCTGCAAAGGCCACAAATTTGCAATCAACGCCGACATGGGCATCGGCGCTAATTTGATGCTATTGATACTGGATTCCGTGTTTTCAGTCATGGCTTACTGTACTTTCAGTTTATTAACTGCACGAAACTCTCTATAATCAATACATTTAATAAATTTTTATCACAAAATTGGAAAGGAAACATTTATGTGAAAATTATAAAGTCCATATATTTACAAACCGTTGGAAAACAATTTGAAATATGGTCAAAGAATAAGTTGTCGTTTGCCATAGCTAATTTACAAAGAATAAACAAGCTCGGTTGTCCATGGTTATATAATTTTTTTATTTTTTAATTGTATTTTTATTATTGGTTTAACAAAAACATTAAACTTCTTCTTTAGATATTACATGCAAACACTGCGCGGACACTAATTTTATTAATATGTAAAAATGTTTAAATATCTAATTCCTACAAGTACCAACCAAAGCGTATCTAACTACTTCTTAGCCGTGGTATTTATCAAGTATTTACCGCCTGGGATTTATCAAGCCGTCCTGCCCATACCTATATCAACTTATCTAAGACAAAGTGAAAACTTCCTGATATATATTTTTTTAAATAAAACAACTTTACATTTCTCTAATTTATAATTTGTGATGAGAATCGATATAAATATTTACAAAGCTAATAAATACTGATTTCACAGACATAATATTTGCAAAGCAAGAAAAAAATAGTGCTTAAAATACTAAAAAAAAGCTGCTATAAATATTTTTAGATATCTTGGCCGCTCTTAATACAGTTTTACACAGCATGTTGATGACCTTGGGAGGCCAAGATATTTGAAGAGACAATTACAAAGTACATATTTATTCTTCAGTAGACTTTGTGGGATATCTACAGTCCGGGGCGTCGCACTCGCACTTCATGAACTTGGACTTAACAGACCAAAATTTGTCTCCATAGTCGAAACTGTAAACAAATAAAGGTTTTAGCAGTAGGAGTTTGGTGCAGACCGTCCACGTTCTACGTCCTAACGTCGTTGTTTGTTATGTACTGTGAAACTCGTATATTAATTAGTCTCTATTAGTGAGTATCTTACGTGAGCTCCTCGCCGGCGGCGATGTCTCTAAGCGCGAAAAGAGCGACGTTAGGCAGGCGCAGGTCGCGTACGTCTGTGAAGACGCGCACAGGAGCCAGGTTGGGCCTGCAGCTGTGGTTGATGAAGCGAGCCGCGCTGCCGAACTGCGCCGCGTCCACGCACAGCTGCTCCGCGCCCTCGCTCCCTTTCTCACCCCCGCCGCCGCCATCCTGCACATTAGAATTTGTTTCCATAGTTAATTTAAACAAAAAATATAGTATTTTATAGAAGGTAAATAGAAGTCAGCAGTAGGACTAACATCGAGGAGATCCTGCTTGAGGTCTAGCGCGAACATATATTGGTCGTGCGCGCGCGCATCAGCGGCGGTGTGCGGCAGCAGCTCGCCGCAGTATAGCGCGGTGGGCGCGCCGGCGGGCAACGGCTGCAGCGTACGTAGCGCCCACCCGCACCGCGCCGTGCGCACCACGGCAACGCGGGCGCCCAGCGAGCCTAACTGTTGCAGCCGCGATATCACGCGGTTACCGCATGTACGCTAAATACAACATACAAATTAAAAATGTCATATTTATTACATTTCAATTACATATAGACAAACATTTTGTTTTGATATGTTATATATGTTGTGTTACCGCGTTGCAGGCGCAGGTCTGATTACATTCAAACAGCATGGGGGGGTCGTGGTAAGGGAAGGCGCGCGGCAGGCGGCCGGCGCGGTACCAGGCGCGCACGCCCAGCGCTGCGCATGCGCACTCGCCCGACGCGCACTCACTACCATGACATCTGCAACCCTATCACATAGAAAATACATTGCACTTAATCAAATATTTATTCTGGAGTTTACCAAATTATAACAAATGAATAAACGTACATACAAACATAATAAACCTTCCTGTCGTGGAGGAAATTATTTAATATCGTTTCCAATTAATTTTAAATTAAATTTAAAAATGAAAGATTTGAAAAGGTTTTTGAAGAGAGTGTACCTGCAGCGTGGCGAGCGCGGTGTCGAGATGCAGGGGCGTGGGCGTGACGTGACGAGTCACGTACGTGAAGTCGTCAGGCGCCCCCGTATCGTCCACCTCGTTGATGCATGGCACAGGGTACGGCTCGCGTCCCTTCGATATGTCGCTGCATATTAAACAATCATTTTTAATATTCATATCATTATAAAATATAACGTAAATAAGTAAAAAATAAACATCCATATTTTTTTATTTATCTATTAATAAAATAGTTTTACATAACTACTAAATGGAATATCCACCATTTTAAGCTATTTTCTATTAAAGAGATAAATAAAGTAATTTATGGATTCGTGTAGGTAATAGTGACTCACTTGCATAGCAGTCTGCAGCGGACGGGCTTATCGGATACGGCGAGTGCCATCTGCATGTTGAGGGAGATGGCGGTCTGACACTGACCCGAGCACACCTCCACCGCCAGCTCGCCCGCTGAGTTCTCCAAGTCCGTCTGACAAAAGATAAGCTTACTGCTACATTCATAGTCCTTTGATATCGATGATAACTTAAGCTCACCCTTAGTGTATATTACCAGTGTTTACTTAGTTTTAGATATATAATTAGTTTATGATAAATAATTATCTAACTTACCCTCGCGCCCCGAGCAAGTAGCATAACGACACATGCATAGTGACCTTGTCGAGCTGCGACGTGTCTGTTACATAAAGACAAAAAATATAAATCACATGAAAAAAATTGATGAAATACTTTACTCTAGGTTTTCTTGATATTGTTATAAAGTAATCTATAGTAAATGTAGCGGAAATTGGAGTGTTGTGTTGTTTGTAATATGAATGGTAACTGACAGGGGCGTGTCTGCGTGCGCATTTGTGTGCGCGTGCGCATGCGGCGCGGCGTGCAGCAGCAGACGCAGCGAGCGCGCGTCACCGTGCAGCGCGCACCAGTGCACCACGCCGTTGCCCTCCGCGTCGCGTGCCGCCGCGTCCGCGCCCCACTCCAGCAGCAGGCTGCGACACACAGACACACATTTATCACTTGACCTTGAGATGAGGCGCACATACAAAATTGTGGCGCATACGAGGAGTGGACGCATAGAAAAGGGAAATATAACCTATATATATACGTCTCCTACTCCGTTAATTAAAAGATAGACAATGCATCTGCAATTGCGAATATACACTACACACACTGCGACAGCGGTCGCTTCGCTATTTCGGCGAATTTACGGCGAAAAAAAAAATCGATCCCCAATCAGACCTGACGACATCAGGATGGCTGTTCTCAGCGGCCCAGACGAGCGGAGTCCAGCCGCCGTGGTCTCGAGCATCCACCAGCGCGCGCCCCTCCTCCAGCAGCAGCCGGCACGCCGCCAGCCCGCCGTGCTGGGCCGCCACGTGCAGTGCCGTCATACCATCCGGACCCTGATTTAATAAATTACACTTTATAAATCTACTAAACATATACTTAGAAGATATAAGTAGATATTTTTAGTCATTATTTATAAGTTTATTTGTTCACAACAAAATGTCTTAAAATTAATTATTTTTCCCTACAAACTCACCGGAAGGTTAACATCACATCCCGCAGCTATTAAATATCTTATAACCTTCATGAGATCTTCATCACTCGGCTTGTTGACGTCACTTTCAGCTACATCATTTTCTTCTTCTTCTACTTCTTTAATTTCTTTGTCTTCTTCTTTATCTTCTTTACTTTCATTCTTTTCATCTACTTCCATTGTTTCTGGCTTTTCGTCATTTTTAATAGTCTCATTCTTACTCTTGGTGGGTTTAGATTTATCTAACAGCGCTGTAAACAAAGATTCAACTGTAGACATAAGTGACCCTTAGTGACCATTACATGTCTATGAGTGTCAGATATAACAATTACCAGTGAGAGCGATGTGCAGGGGCGTGCGGTTGTCAGCGTCGAGTGCGTCCAGCTTGGCGCCAGCAAAGTGCAGCAAGTATACGGCCGCGACCCGCCCCCAGCGCGCCGCCACGCCCAGCGCACACTCCAGACCTTCGCCCTTTGCTGACACTACGGAAGGAAGAATATAATAAAATCTGTAGAAAGAGAAATAAAGGCTAGTCTACGTAAGAAAGAGTCTACGTAAGAAAGAACAAGTAAACAATTACTTAATGTGACTAAGCTAAAATACAATAAATAAAACTTACCAATTTTAGGTATTAACTGCTCTGGAGGCTCTCCAGCTATAATGGCGTCATGTAGTAGTTCCACTTTATCAATGGGCTCATCCTCTTCCATGGTGACGGTCTCCTCGCACAGCCTCTTCAGATCTATAGGAGGGGACGGCAGCAGGTCTTCGGGTATGACAGGACCTTGCTCGATCAGAGCTGGATTGATCCCGCCAAAGCCTATATAAGCTGGTATTCTGGGAACAATAAGTTTATAAAATCACATAATGTAATAAATATAACTGCTAAAGCCTTTTTAAAGCTAATTTTTTAAGCGACACAATAATAACATTTCCAACTTTGTTACTTTTTTCAGTTTGCTTCTTACTAAAAATTAAAGAATATAAACTAACGACTGCTCCCTCTGCTCAGGTAGATAGACCCGCTTGCCACTGCAGTGCATGTCGATCTTGACTCTGGCGCAGTCCTTGTTAGCGGGTTGCCACAGCACAGCGTGCACGCCGCAGTGCGGGCACCCCAGTCCCGCCGCCGCGGACACGCCCCCGGCCCCGCCCCCACCAGCCTTGCCCTCGCCACGCTCGCAGCCCGGGATGCCGCACTCCAAGTGGAACAAATGGCCCAGGGAACACTGATAGAAGATACCCTGGAGAGCAAAACAATCAGCTAACAAAGCTTTTCATGACATAAATCAACAACAAAATTAAATGGCAATTTTCCCTTAGTTGAGTGTATTCCTATAGTGGAAGTATTCTATCTTCTTCAATATCAAAGTGTTCAGAAAATCACTAAATTACTTTGAAAAATGTCACGTACCTGAGCACAAAATAGACCGCAGGCAGTGCAGCACATGTGCTTCCTGAGCTGCGCAGTGTGCTGGCGGCAGGCGAGCAGGTAGGGCGTGCGCGGACCGGCGCGCACCAGCGGCTGCAGCTCACCACCGCGTCGCGCCGCACTGTGCGAGCATCCCACGCGTACACCGTCCACACTGTCGATCGCCTGGCAGAACACCGGCTCTGTCCAAAACAACCACAAATAGAAATGAAAAAAAAAATAATTATCAAAATTATAATTAAACATATTTCTTTCATTAACTACTACACTTGGAGCCACAAAATGGTCTGCTTTATCGATTATTTTGTCTTTCTTGAAAAGAATTCAAATAACTTGCCAGTAAGTTCATCAGGGGCAGCATACATATTGCTGGAAGCCTCACAGTTGCAGGATGCAACTATTGGATACTCTTCTGGAGGGTACGCTGCTTCTTCACCGTCCTCTGGACCCGCTGCATCACTGAATAAAACAAAACTTACATTACATTTTATTGGTATGAACCATTGTTAAATACTTAGAAACTAAACATATATTTATATGAATCCTTAAGTCAGGAATAAGCCATATTTGTATTTCATATTTCTAATGCCTGCTATGAATGTCTTCCAAAAAGAATTTCTAGGGAACAGATTGTGGAAATTCGGATTGGAAGATACACATTTTTGTCTACATAATATTTACCGATCATAAAAATCACTGCAACTATATCTGAGTCTAGACGACCGACGCGGTGGTGCCCTGTAAAGAAAAGTCGACATCAACATAGCTTTTCATCAGTCTGACCTATCAGTTGAGTAGAACATACTTATTCTCATCATCTCCCATAGACATTGACGACTGATCACTCTCGTTGCCATATGACGAACACAGTCTAGTGGAGCGCCTGGGTCGTTCTGTTGGATTGCCACCAGCTGGATATAAGAAATCTTCATCACTGCTATCTTCATCAGCCTCCAGTAATTTACTGATCACCTCTGATTCATCATCAATTTCTTCATCTTCTTCAATGGCTTCAGCTTCATTTTCTTCATCTTCTCTGCGTCTGCAAATTGAAGATTGATATAATTTAATTCTATATTTACCAATATTCAGCGACTAACTTTTACTTCAAATTTACATTTTCATAATCTAAAGCATACCTTAAATAAGTATATTCATTATTAATTCAGATTATCATAGTAAATTTAAGTTACCTGTTGCTTGATTCTTGGGGTTGGTGTTCATTGGGGGTAGTATTGATGGCCTTTAAGCCAAGTTTACACAAATGTTTAACTTTTGAATCTGATGAATTCTCCCCTTCCTCTGACTTGTCTTGTTTTATATCTTCAGAAGGCTTATGACGCTTTACTGCCTTCTTATCAACCACTGCACTCTCTGCATCATAATTCTTTGAATGAGCAGACCTCCTAGTTCTGACACCCTCTTCTGCAGTCTTCTCTGGTTGTAAACCAAGTCGTGCATTGTTTTGTGACTCAAGGCCCATTCTTAGCTCTTCATTAGCTAATATCTTAGCAGTAGGTTTAATTCTCCTTGACAATCTTTGTGTTGGACCTGAAAGCGTTTCGTTATAGGACTTTTCTTTTCTGGCTATAGCATTAGCTAGTACATTTTCCGAAAACTCTTTGCTACGACGCCTTGTTGACCGCTTAGGTGTAGCTAGTGAACTATCTGAAGTTTCATCATTTTCTGACACTGACTGACTAACGTTCAGGCTTTTCTTAGCACTACTTAAAGTTTCATTGTCCTCGTCAGATTCCCATTTTGTGCAACGATTTCTATTTGATCGCCTTGGTGAAACTTCTTCGTGTTTCTCTTCTGTAGAAACGATTTTCATGTTGCTATTTTTCGCTCCAGACTTTTCAGAACGGAACGTCAACACAATACGTGGCTTGGCGTCTTTACTTTCAGCTTTTTTATCACTTCCAGGATCTGAATTTTCGATTCTAACTGAAACATCTGGAGATGTGTCAGCTTTATCGTGTTTCTTCTTGGGGGTTACTGATTCGTCGTGGTCCGAGTGCATATTGCAGGGTCAACTTTTGTTTATAGGTCAAGGTAAACAATGCCGATTCGAAAACTCAAGCAAAACAAAACATCCTTTATAATATTTTTCAATTTGGTTCATATATTGTATGAACTAATATCACTTTGTCTTTTTCGTTTTCCTGAATTATTATACAAATATGAATTTATGATAGATTTACATTTTAGAAAAAATTTTGCTTTTTAATTATTTCTCTGGCTATCACTCGGTTTTTAACTTTATACTTGGAAAATATTTTTTATTACTAGACATATAAAACATTCTAAAACTATGACTTAAATAATTAAATCGACATTACAAAATCAATTTTCAATCAAAGAAATCAAGTAATAAATACAAAACAAATTAATCAAAATTGAATAACTCAACAATTCAGAAATTATTATAGTTATAGATTATATCGACCAAAAAACCAATCATCAAAGAATGTTGAAAGAATGTATGACAGATAAGACAGATAAATAAGATCATTACCAGATACCTTCCAAAATATTAATGCTATTTCATAATAAATACTTTAAAATCAGGTATATCATAATACTTTTGTATCGTGAATTAGGAAATATTTTTATTTTGATTGTTCATAAAATGTTTGGTACAGTGTGAGATTGTGTGGCTGAATGGGGTTGGATTTAGGAAATTGACAATGACATGACAGTTTAAAAGTCCAAAACTTGACAGTTTAGATGTCAACAAGTTTATCAGCGTTTATCAGTTTTATTTGAGTTTAATGATTTTTCCTTTTTATTTAACGTGGTTTAAATCATTCAGGACACCTATACTTTTAGGAAATTACTAATATAATATAAAGTTTCCTTAATTACCTAATAACTGTGAATAGGAAAAGGAATAGACTCGGCACCTCTATTTTAAATACACAAATTATAGTAATCTTTGTGTAAATGTAATTAGACGAATTGTAAATTTTCATCTAAATCTAATTAGGACTTTGCAACAAAAGAAGCAACTTTTACTTTATGCTGTTTGCTCTGTTATCCACTCGTTATATATTTTTTAATTATATAATAAATACTTCCTGTTGAGTTTTTATTCATGCAAACTTTGTTATAACAAGTGAAATCTACTGTGGTTCGATTCCAATTTAACATTTAAGAAGTTTCAAAACATTTACCACAATGGAAAACCTATTTCTCGCTCCAGAACATGTTTTGCAAGGTGGATACTTTCAAGAAACTCTTCGAAAATTACAAGAACCAAACACTAGCATTGAACCTCATAACCTAATGTATCCAGTGTTTTTGCTGTAAGTATAAACTATTTATTGAGTATAAAATTGTATACAGAAGCTTTCGCTCTAGCTTGTGACAATGCATGCACCCTCTTGGAGAGTATGAGAATGTTAATCTAGGATTGTTTGTATTATTGTGTTCTGAAGTAATGTGCCAACACATTTATAATAAATTAAAAAAATATCTTGGACAATATATTTATAATATAAAATGTTTTAAAAGTAAATCATGTTTGGTCGGAGTAAAACATTATCTGTAGTGCCCATTTAAATATTGATAAACTTTTAACAAGTTTAAAGTTCAAATCTACAACATAATTTATAATGAACATTTGATAATAAAAAGAATTAAAAAATAAATATCATCATGAATATGAACACTATATCTTATATCCAAATGGAATCTTTACACATAAATCTGTGATGACTTGTAAAATATTAAAAGTCTATTTTCACTTGACTAATAGTAATCAACCAATACGCAACCATCATTCTTAAGGTGTTGTGTATATTCACTAGAGCAACTCCAATACTTCAATTACTGAATAAGCTAAGTGGAAATAGCCATTAATGAAATATTGTTTAATGTTACAGAGAAAATGAGGATGGCTTCCAATCAGTATCGAGTATGCCAAATGTCTACAGATATGGTATCAACAAACTTATACCCGCACTCAAAGAACTTGTGGAAAAAGGCTTAAAGTCTATACTTATATTTGGAGTTGTAGAAACATTGGATAAGGTACAGTGTATTTAAGCATATACTATATTTTTAATATCAGCAGATTTTTGTTAATTAATTAATATTTCTTGTACCTTTCCGACTAAGCTTTATGCTTGTACTAGGACATGGTTTACGAATATACACAAATGGCGGGATTTGAATCTCCAACCATGTGATCGGAAATTCGTACCATTAAGGATTAGGCTATTGCTATTTAAAAATCAATATTTACACTTGCATAATACATATTGTTTGTTATCTCTCTCATTCTACATGGAAAAAAAAGAGACAAAAATTGTGATAGAAAAGATACAAAATGGAATATTTCTCAAATGATTTTAAGTTTTATGTTGAAATTGTTTTGGATTCTGATATTTTACAAGTATAGTCTTGATTTAATTTCAATGAAATCTTATTTCTTTGTATTTAATTAGGATGCTACAGGCTCAAATGCTGATTCCCCACAAAACCCGGTAGTAAAGGCGCTACCAAAGTTGAGAGCTGCTCTACCACAACTGCTACTAGCTGCGGATGTGTGCCTCTGTCCATATACATCGCATGGACATTGCGGTATACTGACAGATAACGGTGCTATAGATCATGCTGATTCTGTGAAGAGAATAGCCGAAGTCGCTCTTGCGTATGCTAAAGCTGGTAAGATTAGTATATTAATAAAATTGGAGTGTTTTTGTGAAATATTGAAAAAAAAAATATGTATGTCATTCATCTGCTTTAACCATAACGATAAACCAGTTTATAAAATATTTGTTTGTCTGTGGGAATGTCTGTTCGTAAGGCAGCATTTGTCCCGGATAATCTCCGGAACGGCTGGTACGATTTTAATGGCACTTTGATGGGAAGGTAGCTGAGGCATGCCGGCATATTATAGGCTATTTTTTTTAATTCTGTGCTGACGTAATCGAGGGTGACCACTAGTATAGAGTTAATATCAAAAGAGAGATGACATATTTTTGCAGGTGCTCATATTGTGGCTCCCTCCGACATGATGGACAATAGAATTAAGGGTATAAAGGATGCTCTGGTCGCTAACAGACTACAGAATCAGGTAGATATATTTCTTAACTTCGCTTAAACCACTTAAGTTTTTAAATTGATCATGTCATATCAAGATTGAGGTGGAATATAGATTAATGTGGAAGACGAGAAACTCGTGCTGACCCCACATGGGTAGGACAAGGGCAGAGAAATGAATTAGTCACACCAAACACATTAAACACTTACTGCTAAGGGACTTCCTTAGTGGTTTAAATGACTCATAGTATATATGTATATGTATATTGTCAGGTGTCAGTGTTGTCGTACTCTTGTAAGTTCGCGTCGTCTATGTACGGCCCGTTCCGTGACACAATGAAGAGTTCCCCGATGGCAGGTGACCGCAAGTGTTACCAGCTGCCGCCCGGGAGCGCCGGACTCGCGCTGCGCGCTGCCGTGAGTTCATAATACGATACTCTGCAACTAATCGACATCCAATTACTTCGCTATTTCGGCGAATCCAGTCGGATACTTCCTTCTTACATTTTCTTGATATTATAAGGTGATAAGATAAAAAAATGTTAACAAATGGAACTTGCCCATATAAACATTGTAAGACAAGAAAATATGCCATATTAGAAATTGTATATTTTTAATATTAAAAAAATTATAAAAAAAATGGGAAAAAAAACTTTCAAAATCGGAGCACCAGGGGCGGAATTACGCGGCAACACACATAAACAAAAATACGGACGAATTGTTAACCTCGTTCTTTTTGAAGTCGTCTTAAAATGGGAAAAAATAATTTCACAGATATTTTTGGTATTCACAAATTTTTGCGTGCAAGTTTGCTTATGCTTAAGTCGGTATAATAAATATTTTTTTAATAACTTGCCACTTAAACTATCGATAGTTTTTTTTTATTTCAACTAATAGATTGTATTAACACCACTAGTGCAGGGACGTGGCGGAGGGCGCGGACTTCCTGATGGTGAAGCCCGGGCTGCCGTACCTCGACATCGTGCGCCAGACCAAGGACAAGTTCCCGCATCATCCACTCTTCATATATCAGGTTTGTACTTCACTGAAATCTACAGATGAGCCTAAGTTTAGACCTTTATCTACCCGCTTGATTTTCACGAACGAGCAAGCGGCTTTATTTCGCCAATACAGCGAAGCGGCATTTGCAATACTTTATCTTACAAATATTATAAATGCGAATGTTTAGATGGAGGAATGGATATTTGTTTGAAGGTATTTCCAGAACAGCTGAATGGATCTCGATGAAATTTGGCATACCTATAGTCTGGAAGATCACATAGGTTACTTACGTTTTTTTTAATTTCGCGCGGAAGGAATCGCGGGCGACTACAAGTAGGACAAAATGTAGAATGTTAAAATTTACCAAATTATTTCACCTTTGAGTACGAATTTTTAGATATTGAGATGGCAACACTGTACTTTTTGGTTTTTTTCTAGAATGTTCTAGTTAAAGTTGTTTTTGTATATGTTAATTAAAGTACATTTCACTGTTTAAAAACACTCAATTGATTAATATTTCACATCACAGAAAGATATTATTCCATTCTCACCAAAGACTTAGTTAAAAGTAAGTTAAGTTACATATTTAAGTATATAGTTATAATATATAGTTTTGATAATATGTAAGTTTAATTGTTGGTAGGTGTCCGGTGAGTACGCAATGATCTGCCGCAGCGGTGACGACCGTGAAGTGGAGACCATCCTCATGGAGACCCTCACCTGCATGAGACGAGCTGGTATGTATCATACTTAATTCTATCTTCCCACTCAGAGACGTTAACTGGTCACAGAGAGGCGATGTAGATTTGTCATAATAAGATGAAGGAAAATAATGCTATTACGTACATTTATCTGTTAATCATGGTTTTCTGACTCCAAAATTTCCTTTTAAAACGTATTTTTATCTCTGGCATTGTAAAGATAATGACGGAGATGACGATATGTTTTATACAGAGATTTAAGCTCGGAACCCCACGGTAAGAGTTTCAAAGATGTATATGAAGTCAAGCAACCCGCAGTAGCATTTTTTCTTAGTCGGTTTATGAGCTGATAGTCTTCATGAAAATATTTGTTGCATTATTTTTATTCAGCTCTACAAATGTGTTAGTAAGATTTGTATTCTATAGTTTTGAGATTCAATAAAAACTGTTTACTTTCACTTTTCGTAAACGCTTCAATGA